TACACTCTGGGAGTTTAGGTTTTACTGGAGGAGATAGACAGTAAACATGTAAACATGGGCAGCCTCTGAAGAGGTGATATTTGAGTTGAGACCTAAATGATAAGAACACAGCCTTAAATAGAGCTCGGGGGAGAGTAATGTAGGCAGAAGGAACACAGCAGCCTATGGGAAAGAGATTATTGCTATTATCTTCATTTTATAGATGAGGACACTGAGGACTCTGTGAATTACACAAAGCCACACTGCTGAGAAAACTATTATTCAAGTCCCTAGCGACCTTTCCCCTCTCTGACATTCCACAACTGGCACAGAAGAGGGTCTGGGTTGGTGATGCAGTTGGCGAGGGAGAGGGTACACACTGATGACGCAGGCTGAGGGTAGAGGCCTCTGAGCCGAGTCACCAGCTGAGTAGCTGATGGTGGAAACGGGTTGGTTTGGCAGGGGTCCAGGGCACCTGTAGGACACAGCCAGTGGGTCTGTCCTCTTCTGCTTTGGAGTCTACACCACAGATTTGGCACAGTTTGCCTGGAACCATTCATCGAGGGTTTTGGGTCTACTCCTACTGCTTCAAATGAGTTTGCTTCCTTAGAGACAGAGACGTTTTTTGTAGCCTAACCTGCATCTAATAATAACAACCCTTCATGTTCATTGAGCACACCCTTGCTGAGTCCTTGCCCAACCCCAGGCCCTGTGCCAAACACTCAGAATGAAATAAACCAGTCTGGGCCTGCAAAAAGCTATGACGCAGTGGCTTTAGGGTAGGCTTTGGCACCAGATCTATCTGAGTGCAAGATGTACAAGGTGTGTTACTGTGGACACATTATAGAGCCTCTGGAAGCTCTGGATTCTCCATCTTCACATTAGAACAGTTGTGAGGACCAAAGAAGACGATTATGTCAAGGGCATAAACATAGCACCTGGCACAGAGCCAGCAGTCAACATAGACTGTTATTATTACTAAAAAACACTTTTGTGTTTCACTTTCTGGTTTAAGCCTCACTTACTCTGGTAGGTTGATATTACTCTCTAAGATTTATGAATGAAAATTTGAAGCTGATTTGCCTGGTGTTACGCCACCAGCAAGATATCAAGCTAAGTTTCAAATCGGAGTTGAGTGTTATCTATGGGTGTGTTGAAGGTGATCAATACATACTAACTAGAATAAACCTTGCCTGGCATGTCCGGGAACTAAAAGGTCAAATCGGTAATGTATACAGCCTGATGGCAGAAGGACACCAGCCAGGCCCAAGGTGTGGGGCATAAAAACATACCATTGAGGCATGCCACTCACTGCAGTATCCAGTGTCCCTAGCATTCAGCACATATAAAGCATTCATCAGTATTGGCTGATTTAACAAATGAAAAACTCCGAAGACATTTCTGAGCAATTAGGCAACGTCGATAACACCTGCCTTACAAGCCAGACCTCAGATTCTAAATCTGGCTCTGCCATTTACTGTGGGACAAACCCATGCCTTAGTTTCCGCCCTGAACTGGGACTGACCACCTAACCTACCTCACTATAAAATGATGTATACAAAGAAGTCTGGTAAATTAAAAAAGTATTATCATGCACATAAAAGCAATTATCATCAGACAATAAGGCGGTAAAGTATGAAGTCAAACACCTGGAGTTTAAATCCCAGGTCCTCCTGGTACTAGCCTATGAGTCCCTGAGCATGTCACTGTTCACTAAGCCTCAGTTTTCACAACCATAAAATGAAGATAACACCACCTACCTTGCCGGTTTTTTAAGAAGAATTAGAGATAACATAGGCTTTGGAGTGAGACAGAATTGGTTTCACAGACTCTGCCTCCTGCTAACTGAGTTCTTCCAAATCTGTGTCCTATAATGATAAGATTTTGAGATAATAACACAGAGATGATGTTGGTAAAGGCTGCCACACAGTGAGCACCGGATAAATGTCAATGATCATCTTGACCCTGGTACAGTGTGGGGAGGGGGCACAGTACAGTGTTTAAAAGTGGGAGCTTGGAGGCTATCCTCCCAGGCTTTGCCACTTACTAACTGTGCTACCTTGCATAAGCTGCTTAACCTCTCTGTACCTCAGTTTCCTCATTTGTAAATGGGGATAATAATAGTACCAACTTCAGGGTGTTGTCGTGCAAATGGAATAAATTAATACATGTAAAGCACTTGAACAATGCTTGGCATAGAGTAAGCACTTGATAAATGTTAGGTGCTATTAATAGTGATGTTAACAATAATATTAATCACCAACTAGAATAAGAGGGAGAGACTGGGACACAGGCATCCCATGGAATAATTTGAGGTAAGTTCCTAGGCAGCTGTTTCTGGGCAAGTTCTTAATCTCTGACAGAAAAACTTCTATGGAAAGGACCTGAGGCTGGAGGCTCCTGAGCAAAAAATCCCTGTCCCACTGACCAGGAGGTCAGCCTCTGGGGAGGCAAGTCAGGCTCCTTGGAGGGGACACTGTGTTCCCAGCCGCCTGACTCAGGGGAACAAAGGCACGTGTGTGTGGCCAGGGAGGAGGGAGGGCAATGTTTCCCTTTCAAGAGCAGAACAAAGGATCTGAAGCATAGTTGAGTGTGTTCCAATCCCCTCCCAAGCTATATCCCCCGCCTCAGATGATTGTCCAACAAGGTTTTCAACCTAGCTTCCTGAAAGGTGCTGGGGACAGGGGTGGAGTGGGTCAGGGTAGGGGGGCAGGCTCCACTTCACTCTACCCTCTGTCATCAATCTCCAAGAGGCAAGAGTTATATGTGACAAACCTCTAAGATCTCTCTTAGGAGTCTCCATCCTGTGCAGGGGTGGGGTGGGGACCCCTGGGGGAACTCAGGGTTAATGGATGACATAAGCCACTGCAAGTGACAGGCTAAATGGCCCTCTAGGGCAGCGGTTCTCAACCTGTGGGTCACACCCCTTTGAGGGTCGAACGACCCTTTCACAAGGGTCGCCTAAGACCATCGGAAAACACATATATAATTACATATTGTTTTTGTGATTAATCACTATGCTTTAATTATGTTCAATTTGTAACAATGAAAATACATCCTGCATATCAGATATTTACATTACGATTCATAACAGTAGCAAAATTACAGTTATGAAGTAGCAACGAAAATAATTTTATGGTTGGGGGTCACCACAACATGAGGAACTGTATTAAGGCTCGCGGCATTAGGAAGGTTGAGAACCACTGCTCTAGGGGAAGTCCAAGATTGGAACTGCTACTGAGTGAAGGAGCCATGGAGAGAACCCAGGAATGCTGACCAATCCCCCAGTGTGGGGTTGAGAGAAAGGTCTGATAGTACTAAGTAGAAATGCATTTTCTAAATCTTAAAAGAATGATCAGAGGCTGGAGAGAGAAGCTGGGTGAAGGGTGAAGGGGAGGAAGCAAAGAAAGTAACTGACAAGAGGAAAGGGAGGGACACATCCAAAAAAAGTAGTTTGTGGAGGGGGGAGCCTTTAGGGACATTACTTTCCAGTTTCCATACTCTCGCCAGCAGGAATCTGGCTGCTGGGTTGGGACAGGAAGCAGTCCATGGAAGTCATGGCAATGGCATTTCCTGAAGAGCAAGAAAAAAACCTCTAGTTCCGAGGGGAGCTCTGGAGTCTGCCCAAAAAGCCGTGTAGCTTAGAGCTAGCTGTAAGGCTAGCTGTAAGGCTCCAGCTTGCCCTGAGAGCGTCATCAGGGATGAAACCAAGTAGCAAAGGTTCCAAAGGTAGTTTCTTTCCACACAAACAATTATTTGCAAAAATCAGTATGTAGTAAACGGGAAGCCAGATGATGTGATTGAGGAAGCCCTAGGATGCAGCTGCTGTTTGCCGCTGATCCTAATAGTCACTACTCTGAGAGCCTTAAGACTTGAACTAAATCACTGAATCTTCAGAAAGAGGCACTTTATTATAGCCATTTACAAGTTAAAAGACTTGCTCAAGGTCACGTAGCAAGTGAGTGGTCAAGCCCTGATTTGAAAGGCCCAACCCTGCATCTTCCTCCTGATGTAACTTCCGGCAAGCTGCTTCATCTTTCTCAATCAGATTTCCCTCTGGCTTACCACCCTGGGTGGCCATGAGCATCAAAAAGACCAGGTGGATATGAAAGTGCTAAGTGGTAAAGTGCTACATAAATCTGGAATATTGTTAGTATGGGGTTGGTGATAAATTGCCATATATTGATACTGAGATTAGTTAATTTTTGCAGTTAAAGCATTGCAGCTTCTAACAGAAAAGAGCCATCCTAAAACATAACTAACGTGAAATATAATACCGGAGGAATCTGCCACGAGGCCTAAGGCCAGTGAGAACCAGGATTCCTAGACTATCTACTTCAACCCTCCATCTTACAGATGGGGAAACAGGCTTGGGGTTGAAGTGACTTGGCCGAGGTGAGATAGTGAGTTGGAGCAGACTGAGAGTACAATTGGGGTCCTGACTCTAGACCACGGCTTGTACTACATGGCACAGGAACCCTATGGTGCTCCTGCTCTGACAGGAACACTGGTAAGGCATGTCTCCCCGGAGGGTCACTATTGCATCCAAAAAAAAGGAGGCTGGATTACTGAAGATTCTGTGAGTAGGTCTCTGACATGAGTTCTGTGGCAAAGAATAACTACACCACCACCATGTGCCAGGATCTGTGCATCGTAGGCACACCTCATTAGGTCTTTGCCATGACCTTTTGAGGCAGGTATTATTTGTCTCAAGGCTCAAGAAATTCAAGGAGTTAGCCCAAGGTCACACAGCTAGATGTGAGTGAGCCAGGACCTGCATCCAGACATGTGACAGTTATTCAGACAGAAATATTGTAGCAATGGAGGAGGACTATTCATGATACCATATTTGGAGAGAATGATCCCTGAAGAACATGTATCTCATTTAGTCCTCATTCTGTGATCTCTAAGTGGTTGAAAATGTGGACCCATCAATATGATGTGTAAGCCTGGTCTTATTTTTCAGTCCCTTTTCACCACTTCCACCCCTACCTCCTGATCCAAGCCACTATTTTTCTCACCTGACAGTTGCACCAGCCTCTTCACTGGGCTCCCAGCAGCCACCCTAGAAGAATTCAGATCATTTCACTGCTGCTCCAAACCTCCTGGCCTCTCTTTTAACCAAAGCTAAGTCCTCATCAAAGCCTGTGAAGTCCCATGTGATCTGACCTCTGACTACCTCTCCCCCCCTCAATCTCAACCACTCTCCACTGTTACCTCTTACCGCCCATCCCTCTTACTGTTTCTTCTCTAGCTGCATTGACCTTGCTTATCCTTGAACACGCCAAGCATACGCACTCCTGAGCCCATTTTCTCTCCTTAGATCACTCTTTATGCAGGTACCCACATCGTCCACTACTTCATCTTCTTCAGGTCTTGGCTCAAATACTAACTTTTGGTGATGCCTTCCCTGACCACTCTTAAAATTGCAGCCCCACCTCCCTTGCTAGGTATGCCCTATGCCTCAACCTGTTTTATTTTCTTCCTAACACTTACTAACACCTAATATATGAGATATATATGTATTTACATGTTTATTGTCTGTCTCTCCCCACTTGAATGTGAGCTCCACAAGGACAGAAAATTTGTTTTATTTAATGCTGTACCTCTGGTACCTAGGACAGCCTGACATAGAGTAGGAGTTTGATAAATACTGTTTGAATCAATGAATAAATGATCAGGTAAAGGGCAGTTTCCATTACTATTATTCTGGTTTAATACATGTCTGTTTCTTCAGAAATTTAATGGGCATCTCTTTCACTAGGTGCCTGCTATGCCTAAGACCTCTGCTCAGTGCTGAGGAAATAAGTATGGACAAACAAGTATTGACTGGGACACTCAGGAAGCTCCTAAACCTAATAGAGATATGGTAGTTTTAGAAATGTCTTCTTTACACTAACTTAAACTCTACCACTGTTATTTTCCCCTCATTAATGCAAGTTCTGCTGGGTACTATGCTGATAAAAAAAAAAAAAAAAAAAAAAGGCTAGCCCCTCTTCCTTCAGATATTTGAAACTGGTGATCATATTCTCCTGGGTCTTCTCTTCCCCAGGCTAAACAAAAAGACCCAGCGGGATTGTGTGACTCGAGTCTGCCAACTGAGAACGGGGAAGACAGACTGCCGGCTGGAGGAACAGAAAAGCAGCAGATCCAGGAGCAGAGTGACTTCTTCAAAGAAAAGAGATGGAGTCCTTAGGGAAGACTTCATGGAATTAGGTTGGAGGTTGGGGCTAGGGACAAGACCCTGCTAATTAACGTAGCAGGAGATTATGTTGCCGTAGAAGAGCAGCTCAGCGGGAATTACTCCTAAACTAACCATGCTAAACGCAGAAAAAAACACAGTTACTGAAAGAAAGCCCATAAAGGAAGGCTGAGGGTGCTGAAAAACCAAGGCGGCTGGGCACAGAAGAGGACACTCAAGCCCACTGGCCTCAGGACAGATGCCTGTTTGGGAAGAGACAGCTAACAACTGTTGCTTCCTGTAGCCCAAACAAATCAGGTGACTGCCCACACAAAGTCAAGAGAACCCTCTGGGTTCTGTTGGGGCTCCCTGAAAAAATACCTGGGTATTTTTATACCAGAAGTTGAAAGGCTCCATAGGGATACTGGGGAAATTTGTCCTAGGAAGTCTAGAAAACCCTATGATGGTGATAGAGTTTTAACAGCAACCTCAAATGTACATCCAGAAGAACTGGGTGCTTTGAGGGGGAGGCCCTGAAACACTTCTATCTCACTTTGGGACCTGAATGAGATTACTAAAAATTTCCACGTTTGGGGTTTCTAATGGGGTTTCCCCAAGAAAACCACAGAGCTGCAACAGCTGCTGAGATCTGCAAAGGTCGCTGAGGTATCTGAGCAGACGTCTATACAGAAGCCGCCAGACCAGGCAAGAAGAAATGTAAGACCACAGAGCCATGCAGACTGGAAAAGGCCAAATTATGTATTCTCCCACACACACTTCACTGCTCTCAACAATGGCATTTCCATCTAGCTGTGGGGTTTCCCAGGGACAGCAATCCTAAAATGTCTTAGCCCACCAGGGTCCTCACCCCATAACTGTCCACATTCCCACTGGAAAGCCCCAGAAACACTCTGTCCCTTCAGGGAAGGTCACATTACATACACCATTTTGGGTGAACATCTCAGGGGCTGACTTTGTTTCCTCCGAAACTCTGGGGGCAAAGTTCAGTCTTCTGAGGCAGGTAGTCTATTCAGGGGGTGCTCCCACCCTACAATTAAGGCCCAGGAAGGGCCTTTGTTCTAGATCCTTTACTAGAGTCAAGCTATGGTAGGTGGCTATCATTATTTCATTTTACAGGGAGAGACGGATGAAAAAGAGACAAACAGGTTCAGCATCTTGCCAGGTGACCCCAAGCAAGCAAGCAAGCAAGCGGTGATGTAGCTATAAGTCTGGAATTCCAGTCCTTGGAGCATCCCCCACAATTAAGTATACATACCTGGAGCATGCCACCTTCTCCCCACATGCACAATTCTTATCTATTGGTAGGGCCTGAGAGGGTCTTAACAATGAAAAACTTAACAAGGAGCCCACTCTGACTGGGCAAACTCCTGATACCTGCTTGAGTTTACCAGTGCAAGAATCTGAGTCTACATACTTGCCTTTGGGAGCCTGCTACTGCCAATAAAGGCACTGTTCTTCCTGCAGCGACCTAAACAATGCCAAGATCACAGACCAGAGTGAGCACCTCCACAGGCAGTTTTACTCAGCCCAACAGCATCTCTGGCTTTCTGTGCTAGTCACTTTATTATTCCTTGGAGAACTTGATATGGATGGAAAGAGTTCTAGACTTTGGAGTCAGGCCAACCTATCTGTAACTTCTCATTCAGTCACTTACCTGGCTGTGGGACACCTGGGGCCAGTCACTTAGCTTCACAGGTAAACTGGGAATAAACCTACCTACCTTAAAGGTTATTGTGTGGAATATATAAAATAGCATGTCATTTCCACGAGGAAAGGTACCATGTCTGGCTTATGGCCAGCATCTAAAACATTGTATGTTTCATAGTAGATGCTCAATAAATTATAGCTGCATAAGTAAAAGACCTAAGACAATGCCTTGAATATAAGATATGCTCCATAAAGGCTCATTTCCTTTCCTTTTCCTGTAGGGATGTTAAATTTAGAGAATACCCAAGGATGAAACAACCCATAATTCCTACACTCCTGGATTCCCCTCAGCCTATCCTCCAGGAAGGTTATGAGATGCCACTGTAGTAGCCAATCTGTGCAGCTCAAACCAAATGGTACCCGAAAGTGGGCAGGTGCCTTCTACCCAAAAGATCCTGAGTCACCCTAGCCAGTTTGGCTCAGTGGATAGAGCATCAACCTGCGAACTGAAGGGTTCTGGGTTCGATTCTGGTCAAGGGCACATGCTTGAGTTGTGGGCTTGATCCCCAGTAGGGGCATGCAAGAGGCAGCCGATCAATGATTCTTTCTCATCATTGAATAAAAATATTTTTTTAAAAAAAGAATTAAAAAAAAAAAAAGATCCTGAGTCAATACCTTCTGGCTTCAGGGAAAATGCATGCCCAGAAATAGTTCTGACATAACTGGCTCATCTGCACACATCCCCTCTGTTCACCAAGAGGAAGAAGTATGTGGTATGTTGTCCAACAAGCTCTGATAATTCTTGGGCAATGAGAGAAAATGGAATTTCAATATAGTGGCTGTCTACTGAACTTGCCCAGTGCTGCTGTGTCTAAAACCTCTTTTCACATGCAACACTGATGACTGGAAATTCTCTGGCCCAGGTAGCCCTCTGCAGAGGCTGGCTGGTAGACCAGGCAACTCTCCCAGATTGCCTTTTGTTAATAGCTGGCAACAACCCACCTGTTATTAGGACCACTGGCCAAAGACAACAGTCATGCAAAGTAGGCAAATGACCCAAGTCTACCTAGAGATGCCTCAGAGGGTGTGTCTGAATGAAGCACTGGAATCCTGTCCCTCCTGTAATCAGCTGAACAAATATTTGCCCCCAAAGAGAATCAAAGCAGGAGGGAATGAGAGGTCATTGAACAAACCAACAGGAACTATTTAATCATTTATCCCCCCAGGGAGTTCATTTACAGAATGGCTTTCAAGTCTGGTCAGCCTTAGCTCAAGAGTGCCCTCTCTTTTACCTCCCCCAACCCCGTCCCAATCATCTGACCTCTATTGACTTATCTCTTTGCCTTGTACAAGTATTGGCAGTGGGAAGAGTTGATGAAGTTGCAAAGAAATGGGAAATAAGACAGGGGGTGGGGTTCCAGGGCAAACTCAGAGGTCTCTGCTCATTCTAAACTGAAGTGCCTGCCACGCCCTAGGCCCAGCCTATAGATAATTGCATTCTTGACATTCCTGAGTCCATGGTGCATGGCCCCTTCCATCTTAGTTTCTTCAATAGATTACTTATTTTGCACAGCCTGCTCAATTTTAGGGGCATTCTGAAGGTACAGAATACCTCTCATAAGCCCTCACCTTCCCTAGGCAGGGAGATAGCAAGAAAATATGACTGAGGTCACTGTAGAATAGCAAAAATTGCCTACAATGACCACTGATACAGAATCTCTCACCACTGTCACATCCTAACTTGGTGGCAAGCAAAAGAATTCTCTCTCCTGGGAAAGCAATGAGGCATGACTCCTGGTCCCAACTACTCCAGCAAACATGTTGGTGTCAGTCACTGTGCTCATATTAGCTCCAAGATTACAATACCCTGCAAGGCAAGGAGGGCTTGCCACATTTTTTTAGTGGAAGAAACTGAGGCTCAAGGTAAACTGGTCTGTCCAAGGTCACATAGCTAGTTAAGTGACAGTGCTGGGACTCACACCCATGTCAGTTTGATTCTGAAGTCAGTCACTGAATCTTGAGGTCCCATAGAGCCCACACAGACTCAGTTCTTGCTTTGCCAGCAAACAGTGCTCCGTGAAGAGGCCCCAGGGCCCTGGCCGGAAAGCAATAGGCAGAACAGCTGGAGCTCCCCAACCGACTCTAGGTAGTGAAGTACAAAGTTCAGGCTTCATGTGTGACACAGCAAGAGCTCAGGAAACAGGCCAACCATATAGAAAGTTGCACACTTTAGAGCAAATGAACACAGGGGTGCAGCACAAACACAACTGGCCACTGCCCTAAAATCAGGCAATCCTCAGCCATCCAAGCCGGTGGAAACTCCTGCCTGGCCTGGCCTTCTTCTGAGAGAATATCAGGTATGCAAACTTCAAAATAAAAAGAATTTGATGTGGGGGAGGGAAGCCCAGAATAGACTGACATCCCTGAGGGAGTAAGAATGGAGGGGCTTATGGGTCACTGATACTCGCTATCTTCTCTAGGCCTTATACTCATCACCCCTTTGGGTGGTGAGCCATTATGTCAGGGTGAGGGGAACCCTGGACTAACTTCCCACTCTCAAATGAACAGGCTATGATTTCCTCCACCGAGAAACTGGAACACAGGTAGGAAAGAGTGGGGTCACGAGGGTGACCAGAATGAAAAATGCCTGGTCCTTCAAGCACTCGGTCATCTGTTTTTTAGAACCGATAACCTTTTGCAGTGCAGAGGCCAGTTCATGTCTCCTTAACAACATGTCCAAGTAACCATCCGGCACAACAGAAAGAGACATGGGGAAAGGCTGATGAGATCTCTCTGAGCAGAGGCCAAGGAAAAGGGACACACAAGGGGTGTGGTCCTTACCCAGCCTCCGTTCTCCTGGATCCAAGGCTCTAGGTGGTCATTCAGGTAAGTGGCCATCCACGTTGCAATCCGACTCACCAATACCTGCATCTCCTTGTCCACACTTTCCACGCACAATGCCCCACCGAACGAGAAAAAGGCCACAATGCGACCCCAGTTCACCCCATCCCGGAAGAGTTCATTCACTACTTGCTCAAAGCTCTGATATGCTGTCCCCGGGGTGATGTGGAGCTGGGATGTCAGGTCGCTGAACGCCCGCCGGTACCGCAGTTCAAACTCATCGCCTGCCTCCCTCAGCGCTTGCTTCACCGCTGCCATGGGAATCACCTCCCGGGCATCCAAGCTGCTGCTGTGGCCAGTGGCTCCATTCACCGCAGGGCTGTCCACCAGGTGCCAGGATGGGTTGCCATTGATGGCACTGGGGGTCTCCACCTCTGATTCAGTCCCTTCTGGGGCCTCAGTTCTGTTCTCTTCCACATCACTGAACTGACTCCAGCTGTATCCTTTCTGGGAAAGCTTGTAGGAGAGAAAGTCAACCACCAGTTCCCGGTTGCTCTGAGACATTTTTTTATAATAGGGATGGGCTCCACCAGTCCATTGTCCAAAACACCTGCTCACTCACTGGAGTCTGGTCTCTAGTTAGTGGTTGCCTTCTGAGATCCAAAGCCAAGATAAGGTTCTGAAGGGAGAGAAAGAGCTTTCAGGAAAAAAATGAATTAATATGCAAGCCATTTAACCTTACAACCTCGCATTCCACCTCCAGATACCAGAACTGGCTTCTTTGTGGTTCTTAGGAACGCCTGCGATTAGCTTCTCGGAGACTCCCATCAAGTCAAATTGAAAGCACCAGTGGTCTCTGAACCATCACACCGGCCTTTTTTTCTCCCCCACCCCCGACCCCAGCCACCTCCTTTTCCCCGAAGCTGTCGGCCCCCCATCCCCACCCCCGCTCCACCTACATTCAAACACGTCTCTGGCAAAGGCAGGCAGGTGCAGTCCCCGGGCGATCTTTTGTACCATGGGGTCCGGAGAGGAGGCGGCTGCCGGTAACTCAACCGGCCTCACGGGCGGCTGGCAAAAAACCCAGCTGCGGCTGCAGGGACCATGCGGCCCTGCCGGCTGGGTGTCCCGAGGGCGACACGGCAATTACGAAGCTCAGGAACCGGCCGCCTCGCTCGCTTCCTCCTCCATCGCCCAGAATGAGGGCGGCCTCCTGCCACCGGCAGTCCAGCCCCCTCGCTCGAGCACGCTCCTCCGCTCTCTGCCTCCTACTGGGAGCCAGGAGAACTCTCCCGAAGGCGGCCGGGGCAGGCCGTAGGGCTTTTTGTTGTTGTCGTTTCTATTTAAGGACCGGCCCCGGGTGAGGCTTCCGAAACCCCGAAAGGACTTCTCAATGGGGCTCAAGGTTTCGATGAGGGGCAGAGGGCAGGGGAAACGGCCTCGCATCTGAGGTCTGACTTCGGAAATGCCATCCCCGGGCCTTTCCGGGAGGCTGCAGGCCGGGGACCCCCCAGAAACGCCGCTGGTGTTCTCTGAATTCCCCAAAGGCCCTGGACGCGGCGGTGGCGGTAGGGGATTGCCGGCTCCTCCATTTCCCGCACGGACACAATGGCCGCCGGCGCCCCGCACAAAGACCGGGTGAGGGTGAGGGCGAGGCGCCGGGCCTCTCCGGTCGGGGAGCAGGGTCGAGGCCTGCTCGAGGACCCGACAGCTGAGACCACGTTTTCCCGAAGCCAGGCTCCCGGCGGCTTCCTGGCGCCCCCGGGAGGGCCGGGGGGCTGGGGGCTGCACCTCTCCGGAGCCGGGGTGGGTGGGCTGCGGCCTGGCGGCTCCTCCCGCGCCCGGGGCCGGGTACCCGCGGGGCCACCGCCCAGTTGCTAGGCAACCGCTCTCCCTCAGGGGCGCCCCCTAGACCTTTCTGGGAGAAGGGGGTCTCGTCCCCGGCGGCCCGCCCCTATAACCAATCAGAGAGCCCAGTCGGCACGGAAGCGGGACGGCGAGGGCTCCCATTGGGCGCAGCGCCTGCCACACACAGGGGAGGCGGTGCTCTCACCTGCGAGCCCCGCGAGCCGTGGGGGGCCACATTCCCCCTCCGTCGGCCAGGTCGTTTCCAGATGCGAGGGCTCCTGGCGGCCGAGTTCCGCGCCGCTGACCCGGGCCGGCCTACCTGGCTGATGGCTCCCTCTGTCTCTTCCGAACGAGCCGGCCTCAGTTTCCCCTGAAGAGACCGGGGGAACTTGCAAGCTCAGTCACTTCCGGTGCCGCGGCAGCGCGCGCGAGCCCGAGACGCAAAAGGGAGTGCACGCCGTGAGGACTGGCGTCAAGACCTGGGAGAGAGCGCCCCCTTGCTGTAGATCTCGGGAACCAAGGACGGAAAAAAAACACGTTTACATTTATATTTCCATTCTTTCATTTAGTCAGTCATTTTCATCTATCTGTCAGCTTATATATCGAAAAGCATTTCGCTGTGGCTAAGAACATTGTGTTTAGGATCCCAACTCCAGTTAGTCAAGCTCTTCAACAACCCTGTGCCTCAGCTTTCTTAACTGTAAAATGGGTAAAAATCAACCTCCATCATTGAGTTACTGTGAGGATTAAAATAATTGATATTTGCCCTGCCCTCCCCCCCCACACACACACACCGGTAGTTTAGTTGGTTAGATCATCGTCCTGATGCACCAAGGTTGTGAGTTGGCTGCCAGGTCAGAGCACATTCAAGGATCAATCAATGAATGCATAAGTTAGTGGAACAATAAATGGATGTGTTTTCTCTCTCTCTCGCTCTCTCTCTCTCTCTCTCTCTCTAGTTAATAAATAAAAATAACGAATAAGAGTTATTATTTTTAAAGTCCGTAGAACAGTGTATGGTCCATAGTATATGCTGCATAAATTCATTCACCAAATGTTTATTGTTTGGGTTGCTAAAGACAAAATTGGGACCAAGACAAGGCACGTCCCTGACCTTTTAAACGCTTTAGATAGAGACAGTAAACAACTAAGAAAATATACAAACAAGGTAATTTCAAATAGTGACCGGGGCTAGGAAGAAAGTAGGTCAGGGTATTGTAATAAAGAGGGTGAAGGGAGAGTTGCTACTTTAGACTGAGTGGTCGGGAATGTAAGCCCTGCCCAGTGAGGGAGAGAAGCATTTATTCAACAATGCTTGCGTAGGGTGACTAGGGATGTCCTCTAGTGTTAATTTAATTGATTAAAAATTAGGTATACTGGAAAATGGAATGTTAAAAATATACCAAAAAGCATAGATTTAAAAGTAAGTCCTCTTCTCACCCTACTTTCTAACCCCCAGTTCCCCTCATAGAGGTTCACTCTTATCTCTGTAATCTTTCAGAGATGGTGACTGTATTCACAAGCAAACTTATATGTATAAATGTTTTACACAGATACTTCCACATCTTGCTTTTTTCACTGAGCTCTACATTTTGGATCTGCCTCAATTTTTTCAAGTTAACAACTTTATAAAGATGTCATAATTTACTTGCTCAATCCCCTATTTGGGAACACTTAGGTAATTTCCAATCTTTTTCTTCCCAAATAATGCTATAACTTGTCCATTTGTTATTTTGCATATGTGGGAGTTTATCTGTTAGGTAAATTCCTGGAAATGGAATTATCAGTAAATGAGTATATGAATTTGTTTTTGCTTTGTTTTAATGGATATTGGCAAGGCGGTCTCCACTGCAGTGGTACCAGTTTGTCCTACCAGCAATGAATGTGCAGATTTCCTTACATCCTGAATTACACAATGTGTTAGCAAACCTTTTTATCCTTCCCAATAAGATAGATTAAAAACCGCCCTAGCTGGTTTGGTTCAGTGGATAGAGCGTCGGCTTGCAGACTGAAAGGTCCCTGGTTCGATTTCTGTCAAGGGCACATACCCAGGTTGCAGGCTCCATCCCCAGTAGGGGGTTTGCAGGAGGCAGCCGGTCAATGATTCTCTCATCATTGATGCTTCTATCTCTCTCTCCCTCCTCCTTCCTCTCTAAAATCAATAAAAATATATTTTAAAAAAGATAAAAACCAAGATGCGCTTTTATTTTTTTTTTTATTTTTAGTAAGAGAGAAATTGACTCATATTCATGTGTCTTTTTTTAGGGGGTCTTGTTCTGGTGAATTCTTTGTTCATTCCATTTGCCCTTTCTTCAGTTGGTCTTTCTGTTGAACTTTTTTTCTCATTGATTCATAGAAATATTTATCCTTTCTACATATAAGTTGTAAATATTTTTCTGATTTATTATTTACTAGGGGCCCAGTGCACAAATTCATGCACCTTGAAAGGAACTGTGGGCTGCGAGGCTGCGATGGGCACAGAGGCGTGTCTCAGCCCATCCTCTATGCCCCCGCCTGGCCCCTCCTGCCAGGACCCTGGCCCTGGTCCCCTATCTGCTGGCAGCCCTGCTCCCGCCACTGCTGCTCCCATGTACTGACAGCGCCTGCCCTGCTTCCACCCGAGTGGGGCTGGCGCCAGCAGCGGGTGCAAGTGGCGGCTGCTGCCCCAATCACCCCTCAGGAGCAGGGTGAGATGGAGAAGCCCTCAGGGGCAATCGGGGCCGGCAGCCGCCACTCTCACCCACTGACAGTGCTGACCAATCGGGACCAGCGCCGGGCTCCGGCAGCGGGTGCGAGCAGCGGCTCCGGTGCCAGCTGAGGATGTGTGTGGGGCCAGTGCCATCAGCAGGGGTGAGTAGCAGCTGCCGGGCCTGATCGCCCCTCAGGAGCAAGGGGAGGTGGAGAAGCCCTGAGGGGCACCATGTTATGTGTGTGCCCCCTGGTGGTCAGCGCACGTCATAGTGACCGGTTGTTTGGTTGTTCCATCGTTCAGTCTATTTGCATATTAGGGTTTTATATATACAGATTACCATTGAGAAATTTTTTATTTTATGTGTATTTTAATTTATTGGTCTTTTCCTTTGTGGCTTTCAGGCTCTGTATCATTCTTAGAAAGACCTTCTCTAGTTCAATATTATAAAAATAATTCTGTTTTCTTCTAGTTTTTATATTTTACATTTAAATCCTTGTTCCACCATAAATTCACTTTGGTATATGGTGTGAGGCCAGCATCCAAAATTTTTTTGCAAATAACTACCCTGTTATACTAATATTACCATATTTTCCCAATCATTTGAAATGTCTCCCTTATAATCTACATTCCCACGTTTATTTGGATCAATTTCCAAACTTTCTATTATGTTCCATGGGAGGATTTTAAACTGGGGTAGGACATGAAATGCTTTTTTTTGAAGGGGGGATTGGAGAGAGAGAAAGAGAGAAAGAGAGTGAGAAACATTGATGTGAGGAAGACACATTGATTGGTTGCCTCCTGCACAAGCCCCAACCAGGGCCGAGGATCAAACTTGCAATCCAGGTATGAGCCCTTGACTGGAAATAGAAACCATTTAGCCACACTGGCCAGAGCTCTGCTTTAATATATATATTTATTTCAGAGAGGAAGGGAGGAGAGAAAGATAGAAACATCAATGATGAAGAGAGAATAATTGATCAGCTGCCTCCTGCACACCCTCTGCTGGGGATCAAGCCCGCAACTTGGGCATGTGACCTTGACTGGAATTGAACCCAGGACCCTTCAGTACACAGGCTGATGCTCTACCCACTGAGCAAAACCGGGGATTGGTCTCTACAACTGGCTTTCTTGGGTTCAAATCCTGGCTGTGTCACATACAAAGTGTGCGACTCTGGAGAAGTTGTCTAAACCTCTCTGGGCTTCAATTTCTTCCACCTATAAAGTGGGAATGATAACATTTTCTACCCCAGGGTTACTGTGAAGAGGGAATGAATTTATATGTGTAAAGTACTTCAAACAGTGCCTGGCATATAGTAAGTGCCAGCTGTTACTACTTATATGCACCCATGGGAAAAGTAGAACATTATTTTGCATATTTTTTAAAAAACAATGGTTTCACACTGCACTTATAGTAGCAATTTTCAACTGGTGTGTCACAAGAATTTTTAAGACAATACTTAACTATTTAGTCAGGGGCACTGACCTCTTTTCCCTAAGATTGCCAAATAAGAAAATGACAACAGCCAACACAACAATAGTCATCTGGGGTGTGAATAAATCAAAATTGTACCTATTGTTTTGGCAAAAAAATATATTTTTTGGTGTGCCACAGAATTTTAGTAATTAGTTTCTGCATGCCATGAAATGAAGAAGGTTGAAAACTGCTGATTTAGATCAATCAGTAATTTTTATTTATTTATCTATTTATTTATCTATTTATTTATTTATTTATTTATTTTGGATTTCAGAGAGGAAGGGAGAGGGAAAGAGATAGAAACATCAATGATGCAAGAGAATCATTGATTGGCTGCCTCCTGCACATCCCATACTGAGGATCGAGCTCACAACCTGGGCGCATGTGCCCTTGACTGGAATCAAACCTGGGACCCTTCAGTCCGCAAGCTGACTCTCCGAGCCAAACCAGCCAAGGCAGTAATTTTTTTTTAAAATATATATTTTATTGATTTTTTACAGAGAGGAAGGGAGAGGGACAGAGAGTTAGAAACATCGATGAGAGAGAAACTTCAATCAGCTGCCTCCTGCACACCCCCTACTGGGGATGTGCCCACAACCAAGGTACATGCCCTTGACCAGAATCGAACCTGGGACCCTTGAGTCCGCAGGCCGACGCTCTATCCACTGAGCCAAACCGGTCAGGGCAAGTAATTTTTTTTTTTTAACTCAAAAATGTATCTCAAAGAAAACTCCTTGTTAGTC